TTATCAAGTCTTTCAGAATTTCAAGAGTAGAGTAATAACAAGAAACAAATAGCACATGGCTGGATTTTAATCTCTAAAGAAGAGAATGATGATAAAAATATAGTACATAGCACATACTTTGAAGTAACTGTTTAGATGTATTAATTCCTTTAACTCTCACAGCAGCCTACATTAAAGAATGAGATATAGAGGCATGTTCACTCACATTCCCAAAGTGCCACACTGGAAAGGACCAAGATACAAAGCTGGGCCAGCTTGCTTCTGGGACTTGATTTTTAATCACTTTGTTATTCTTCATCTCACAAAGATGTAAATTAGATAGGTAGGTAGGAGGATTAATCTTTTCTGTCATCCAGTCATCTCTGTCTAAAAGTATAACAACTACCTGTGTGGATCAGCTCTGGTCATTTATTCTAAATGAGTGTCCAATTTGACCAGTACGAAAATTCCATCTGGGTATGGTGGTGCACCTGTAATCCCAGTCCTTGAGAGATGGAGATAGGTGGATCTCCATGAGTTCAAGGTCTACCTGAGTTACATATTGAGTTAAAGACCAAGCTGAGCTACATGGAGATAACCTGTCTGAAAATAAAGCAAGGAAGAAAGAGAGAGCAAGAGAAAAAAGAGAACAAATTCCCATTTGCAATTAGAGAAATTTTAATCTTACTGACACTTTAGAGCCCCTAGTCTTATTTTACACTTCTTTCTCACTTCTCTTCCATTAAGTGAAACACTATAATTAATTCTTGTTTCCTTTTGGACTCAGTTATAAATATTTCTCCTGTAGTTTTAGTTAATTATAGTTGTTGCTGGAACCTCTGATGAATAACATTTCCTGACCAAAATAAAGCATTTTCTTTCCCTGGAATGAGATTTTTCAAGTGTAGAAAAAGCAACTATCACATTTTGGTTGTGTTGAAATGTTCTAGTGATTTTATCTGGCTCTCTTCCCTTAGGATTAAATTAAATATGAAGAGCCTTGTTACAGTGCAATTATGTCAAAATTCTTGATTTGAAATTATGTTTTTTACAACTTTACCTGGCCCTTTTGTTCTGTGTGCAGCACAAATAAATAATTGCCCTTTTAAATGCTTCTTAATAATTTCATCTGAAGGTAGCATTGATCACTAATGTTAACATTAATTTCTCATTTTTTTTTTTGGCAGAACCGAGGATTGAACTCAGGCCCTTGCACTTTCCAGGGAAGCACTTATTCCTCTGAGCCATGTCCCTGGCCCCATTAATCTCTTTCTTGAAAAGGTGTATAATTCTTTTAGTGATTTAGTGGTGTAATTTTAGTGGTAAGGTATGCCGTTTTCTAGCACTAGGACTTTTTTCTAAATATATAGCAATATGAGGCTATACCTTTATCTTTGTTTATAATGAATGCAAGGGTCCTCATACTATAATGCATTTGTTAGGAAAGGTGTTAAATGTCATTTGGAAAAATACCATTTTAAAATATTAAGCGGTGTTTTTTCACATTTTCCATGAGCTTTCAGAAATCACAATGAATTGTTACCAAGATTACCAGAGTCAGTGGCTCACTAGTTGATATGTATGTGTATATACATATATATATATATATATATATATATATATATTAGAAAAGACATACAAATGTTTTTCAAGTATCATTTCCTCTAATAGGTTCTCAAATTCTGATTTTTCAGAATAAATAGTCCAGCTTAAAAGGACCCTTTTGTCCATCATCTAGAGTGGCCCATATTTAGAGTCAAGGATGGGGGCGCTGGGGAGCTGGCTGAGTGGAATAAGCGCTTCCCTGGCAAGCGCAGGGGTCTGAGTTCAATCCCTAGTTCTGCAAAAAGAAAAGAAACATGAAATGAAGACATATTCAGATACACAGTTTGAGAGACTCTGTCAACTGTGATCTTAGATAGAGTCAAAGATGGCTGCCCAAGGTCATGTGTGAGAAATGTGTGTTTACTTTTCAGGCTGAAACTGTAAATATGCAACCTTAACTAGTCATATTTTGAAAGACTTATTAAAGGTTAAAAGGAATTTGAATAGACCTTTTAACTTCTACACTACTGAAAATGTTAAATTAAACATAGAACCCAATGATATATTATCATATAGCTTCTTTGGTAAAGATTTGCAGTCTTCCTTAGTAGGGGATTAGAAAACAAATACGTTGGTACTGGGGTCTGAAGACTGGCTCAAAGCATGATTCCTTCCTGTTGATGAGGAGGTGGCAAGGGAAGACTGCTCTGTAAGGCCACATTCTATGGTTCTTGGGCAGTGAGGAGCAGGGATGGAAGAGAGATCCATACTAGCTCTCTCTCTGTACACCCCTCTCCTCAGTGGCAGTCTCTGTTCCTGACCATTTCATCTTAGGAATAACCATCAACCACCTCATGAAGAAAAAGATGGAGACATGGAGCAAAAAGTCAGAAGTTATATGAGCCAAAAATTCATGAGAAAGAATGAGTCCAGTCTTTTGTTCATATTTCAGAATTTCTGGTTCAAATAAAGACAGAGCTTGAAAGTTTTGAGGTCCTCACCAAATAAACTTAATAAATGTAAAGTTATTTTTTAGTTAAGTTTTTTTAACTAAATGATTTTCCAACTTGGTTCTAAAAGATCCAGGTTGCTTTTGGTATTTAATTCAATCCATTTCTTTTTACATCCTGTTTACTGTGTTGAAAATTTACCAGGGGCCAGGGAGATAGCTTAGTGGCATAAGTACCTGCCCAGCAAGTGCAAAGTCCCGAGTTCAATCTTCAGTACCAAAAAAAAAAAAAAAAAAAAAAAAAAAAAAATAGTATCATGTCAGAATCAAAATATTTTAAACTATTTAAAATATTCTCTTTGGAAAATTGCAGTCTGTTAATCTATCTAGGTGTCTATAATTCTAAAGCTCACACCCTCTGCCTAGAGCTAACTTTCACTCTGGCCCATGCTTAGAAACCTTCATGGCTTCTGGTGATGTGAAGGAGCAGTTTGCAACCTTTTATCCTCTTTTGATAGGCAAGCATGCTAGGTGATAGATGGTATTCACCTGAGCGCTCCGTTCACGTCCGCTGCTCTGCCCAGGGTTGCTTGCAAATTCAGGCATGCCAGCTGTAACTCAGCACCCTCCTCCTACTCAGGCAGGTATTTCACAAAACACACAAGTGAGAATGACATCCCCATGTTCCCCAATACATTTCCAAAGTAAATTATCCCCTCACTCTGTGCTTTACCGCTACTCATAAAATATGTCTTATACTTAATCATGGTACAGGTCAAAACACTCCAGCTTTCACTCTTCAATCCAGACTGTTTTGAATGGTGAACCATACAAAACATTTTTTTGGTCTGGGTTCGATGCTGATCTTGGAGTTGACTTCTGTCCCCCGGCCACACTCCCACCAGCCACCTGACACACACAGGATTCCTCACCAGATTTCTAAACATCTCAACATACATTCTGCAGTATAAAAACTCTCTGTGTTCTTTCTGACAAGAGTATTCTCTGCCCACCCTACACGTAGTGGACCCCTCCCCCACCTTCCTTTAAGTGCAAATGCAACTGTGGGCTCTTCTGGGAGACATAGTCAGACTTACACCCCATAATATCCCAGCTCAGAGCCTCTGGAAGAATGCTGGGTCCACTTCTGGGTTTCTGCCCTGTTTTGTGTCATAAATGTCTGGTTCCTTTTTTTTTTTTTTCTTGTTATGTTCTTCCCTTGTTTTTCTTTCTTACTAAACTTAGAACTCAGAACCTTTACACTAAGCTGCATCCCAGCCCTACTGTTTTTCTTTTTTATTTGAGACAGGGACTTGCTAAGTCACTAAGTTGCCAGGCTTTTAAACTTACAATCCTCTTGTGTCAGCGTCTCAGAGTGCTGGATTTACAGGAATGGACCAGCACTCTCGGCTCCTGTTCATTTCTAATTGTATCTCTGGTACTGTTCTACTGTCTTATTCTTCAAGGCCAAAAGCCATGCTTTCTTTCTCCATCTTCCCAAAGTCTAGTATAGTGCTTTGTAGAAAAAAAAAAATACCTAAGGAATATATTTGTGGAAGTTACTTCAATAAACATTGTTGGCAGAAATAGTCTAGGATTCCTATTGGTTGTGCTATTCTGTTTATTTATATTATTGAAAAAAATTCAATGTGCAGAGGTAAAAATGTTTGGAATGAAAAGGTATTTTTCCCTTCTGTACAATTGACAGAATTATTTTAGCATGCTTATTCCCACATCAGCATCCTTCCAAGTTATCAGGAGCCCATCATACGAGCCCTGTGCTCCCTCCGGTGCCCCATCCTTCGTGCCTGTCTGTGAGGATTTCACTACATGTTGCCACACCCCCCAAAGAGTGAGGAAAAGAAACAGGCTTGAGTTGCTGCTTTTGTACTTCTTAGCACTTCCAAAGAAGCATTTAAGAGGGAATGAAATATTGACAGTGTTACAGTAACTTTCATAGTTATCTTCCAGATTATATCGCCTCAATTCCTATGGGTGCTCGTACACTGTACCTGTTTATTCACGAGTGTGGTTAGCAAAGAGAGTAACAGAAAGGAACACAGGTAACCTGTGAGGACCAATACATGCTGATCAGAAGTTAGAATAGTTTGGACCAGATTCAGTCGCAGTCTTCATCATGTTTTCTTGTCTCATGTTGGGAAACAAGGACGTATAGACAGAGAGATCACAACGGTTTATAGAAACACTGGAGCGAGGTGAAATGATATCGGTATCATACATAGTTTCTTGTACAAGAGATAATCAGAGAATAGCTTACTCTGAGAACCATTGTCTGTTGAAGAACACTGAAATGCAGATCGCATTATGACAAGTTCACAGTAGCTCATTCCATAGATTAAGAAGCTACATGGCATGTGCATGTGATACATATTTTGTGGAGAGCACGGCTTGACTTTTAAAATTTCCTTTGCATGCTGTGACTTACTGCATGAGGCTTCTACCCACTGTGAATCTCTGTTTGTCTGAGCTTTTGTTTTTACACTAAATGTATGGATTTATCTTTTAGATTTCCATGTAGAAGAGGCATTAGACTGGCCTGGAGTATACCTGTTACCAGGCCAAGTTTCTGGGGTCGCTCTGGACCCCAGTAACAACCTGGTGATTTTCCACAGAGGTGACCATGTCTGGGACGGAAAGTAAGTCATGTTTTTGTTCAAATCATAAATAAAAATATTGTTCATCAGTTTTCAGTAGACGAAAAATGCTGGTGAGGAAACTAGTAAGTTTCTTTTGTTCTTTTTTATGGTACTTTGATTTTGTACTTTAGCACGAGGTAAAAACTGGTGATAACTTTCCTTATGTGATATCATAGCCATTGATAACTATTTCCAAGATTATTAACTAGTATTCTCAGTGATGATGCTGTAATTCTGTAGGAATATGTCCATGGTCCAAGCTTTTCTGTTCTTAGGAAAAAATATCTAGAAAAAACAACTTAAAGGAGAAAAGATGTATTTTCGTTCATGGTTTCAGAGGTTTCAGCCCATGGTCATTTGGGCTGACTCCAGGTTCCTGTGCCTGTGGAGAGGCTGAAATCATGGTGGAGAGGCTGTGGTGGAGCCAAGCTGCTCCCATCAGAGCAGTCAGAAAGAGGGAGAGAGAGAGAGGGAATGGAGGGAAAAGAGGGAAACAGAGACAGATACAGCCAAAAAGAGACCGGGGACAAAATACCCTTCTGTGCCATAACCCTACCTTATGACCTGCTTCATCTAATTAGACTCTACCTTCCAATGTGTCCCTTTAACTAAAATCCCAGCAATGGGTTACTCTACCAATCAAGTTAGAGCCCCCAGCATCGAACCAGCTTCCCAGCAGCCTCTCAGCTGGCAACCAAGGTCCCGCCCCATGATGGTGGCCTGACAGATCCACACCACCACAGTGTCTTAGATTGTTTATTTCCCTCTTTCTCTGTGCCCTCTTCCAATAATTATCATTATGTGTATGTTTGTGTGTGATTTCCTCATCACGCAGCCTATTTCTGAGGATGATTTTTATGAGAAAAACATATTTTTTCTCTTAATAGTATACATCAATGGTGGCAAACCTATGATGCATGTGTTATCACGCTTTTCTTTTAAGACAAAAGATGTTAAAATAGAGGGTTTTCTTTTTCTAAAAATGTTAACATAGAGTTGTTTTTTAAACTCAGTATTCAATTTAATTGCTGTGTTGGCCCTTTGCGATAAATGAGTTTGGGTTGCAGGTTGGCACTTGGTCTCACAAGGGTTTGCTGTCACTGGTGTACATGATGATGGAGAGAAAAACAGTCGTGTGCTTTACAGCAGTCTTCTCAACCCACTAGTTCATGGCGAGCAGGCACTCACGCTCTGCAGCTCTGTCTGCTTACCATTTTGCCTTCTTCAGCTTGAAATTACCTTGTCTTCCTTATAGGAAAAATATTAACACTAGTCCATTCGGTGCTTGTTGAAGCATTTCAAGGCTTCCAAGAGTGACTATAATAAAGAATCAACTAAGAAAGGATGCTGGTTGACCTGCCGCAGTAAAGCTCTTTGCTCTTTGCCTGTTGTGGACGTGGAATACCTCTACCCTCTGGGCTCCGCCTGTCCCTCAGCTCATCCCATGGTGTTGGCAGCAAGATTCTGGGTGCAGCAGTGTGACATGCACATCATACCATGCATGGCCTTCACGCTTTCATATATATTAATTTGATTGCTCAAATTTGCCTCTTTCATGAGCATCAAAGACTTAAAAACACTATTAGCACTCATGTCTGATGGCCCAGCTCCTTCCTCTGGCATTCTGTTTCTAACTACTTCCACCTTCCACCACGTTCTTAGTAGAATATAATAAAAATGTCTACAATTGAACGAGCGCTTACTGTGACTCCAACAGTGTTCCAAATGGTTACATAAATTACCTAACAGGTAGCCTCATCACCATCCTTAGCACATTTTATAAATGCAAAACCAAGTGTTTCACCCAATGCCACATTAGCAAGTAGAAAAGCCAGGCTTCTGGCCCTTTGTCCGTAACTCCAAGGCTGACACACTGAGCTGCTTGCTTGCCTTTAGGGTTGTGAGCAAATTTGTGTGTCTGTGTATTAATGTCTGCTCCAAAATTTAGCAGGTGATTTTGGTTCTCCTGAGAAATGAATATCCATGTATTCATTTTTTCCACATAGATTCCCATATGAAGGTAAAATTTAATATATTAAATCAAATGAATCCTCTTTCTTACAAGCACAGGGCCACATGGATAAATGTGAGACTCTACATGTTTAATGCAGTTGTGTTTCCTCCATTCTGAGAGATATTGATTAAACTCACTTTACATGTATGTGCGTATGTGTATGTATGTGTAGTTTTCTTTGTGCAGTTGAAGATGTAACTAAATCAGTATTTCAAAAGTGGCACTTTTGTTACAGCTTTAACTGTGCTTTCTGGTTGTTAAACTTGCAAGGGGAATCTAAGAAAGAAATTGCTTCAGAGTTCAAAGCAAACAGTCAAACTCAGCATTCCCCCTTGTGCATCCCTTTTACATCATCTTAACTGCTGTTATTGAACATCTAATGGTATTTTAACAAGTGCTTTTAAAAGGGAACTATTACTATTCATTGTAGCTTGCTCTTCATTTTCATGACATTGCTCCATTTTCTGCATGGGTTTCTGGCCACATTTTACCAGACAAGAAAATGACAGCACCCTCTTCTCCCACTGATCTAGTTTCAGCTGGTTAAAGTTAAACTGAACAAAGGCCAAGTTTCTCTATTCCAGCTGCAGAGGCTGGAATAGTTCACTAGAAAAAAGTGGTGAGTGAAGGCTGGCTTGGGTAGCAGTGACACAAAACCGTGGATCAGGAGCCACAGGAGAACACTTGCTGTGTGGCCTATGTGGCAGTCCTGACTGAACAACTGCATGGAGGTTTCACTGTCTTGTGGCCATACACTCCAGTTGTATTGCCAAAGCCCTGATATGTTTCCCTGCTAAATAGCATCCACCAACCAGTGCTGTTGAAAGTGGAAGAGGAAGATGCTGGTTTTACTCATTGACTCTTCTTTCTCCTTTGTCTTTATCTCTCTGGTGATCTCTTTTCCTCCCCTCTTCTGGTATTGCCTGTTGGCCTCTAGCTGCCTTTGCAAGACATTTTAAGAAAAGTCTTTCAATCCTTCATATTTGTTTCCAACTCTCTGCTTCATTATTCATGAAGAGAATTAGAAGTAGTTTACTCTGTGGACATTTTTTAAAAAAGAAAATGCATTATTTGCTCCAAGAAAAAATTATATTTGTCCCTGCTCTTTGAATGGTCATGGTACATAACGATCTTTTATTTAGATACAGTGGTGTGTCATTTCACAAACTTAATTTGTTCCACTATTTTGAGAAAGATGGCCTTGATTGTGTGGGAGAGGTAGCTGTGATCATGTTTGTCACCCGATGTAGAGTTTGCACACAAAAACAAGATTTTGCCAAATGCTCTTCTTTATGAACCAAATTGTTCTAAAGCAATAGTGTTCATGAACTGAGGTATCAGTTACATGCCACATTATGTAAATTGGGCAGAGTACATAGTTTTTCTTCTCCATTAAAAATTCCAAGGATTTGGGACGCGAACAAAAAGATAATACCTTTCTCTATAATTTGTGATGTACTACTGAGAAACAGTAGAGATTACAGGCAAGGTGAAAATCAAATTCTTGTTGCTACACTCTTGATAAAGATGTGTGAAATACTGTGGTATTTTTTCTTATAATCTTTCTCATTCTAGTTCTCAAGTTCACAAAATTCTTAGTTCCATAAGGCAGGGACCTGCTGTAAATCATACCTACACTCTCTCTATCATGTATTTCTCAGATCATCAGTTTTTTTAATGTATCAAACAGTGCTTGAGGTTAATAGTAATCCCTAATGAATATTCATGACCCAAAGCGCCTGTGCTATCATTGCGTCACCTGTCTTTATAAACACAATGATTCTTCAGTATTGCCTGTACCTGATAAGACAGATCAGCTTTGCTCTTCTACTTAACCGAACTAAATGAGAATGGCCACTAAAATTCTATCAATAATAATAAATCACTTAACCCCTGAAAAATGGTGATCACTCCCTTTCTCAATCAGATTTCCATTTTCCTTTTGTGTGTCCCTTTCTTCACCATGACTATTGTAAGAATTTTCTTCTAGCAGAGATAGGAAATGCCTATTGCCAGCAGGGAGTAATGAAACTTTAAAGAACCTCTTGTCTGCCCTGATGTGAGGGCAGCATGGCAGCTAACGCTCTTTAATCTTTAAATGCCTCGCAGCAGGGGCTGGTAGCTCTTCTCTAACAACAGCTGCTCCTGGGTCTCTGTCTTAAAATCACCACAATGAAAGCCTTGCTTCTTGGCCTTCCTTTCCTGTCTCAGCTATGGCTGGATCTTACCATGCAGAACTCACATCTCATACCCACTTAATTAAACTCCAAGTCTTGCCCTTCATTGTGAGCTGCCTTACATCATTGATCTTTTCTTCATGTGGAGTTTCAAGGAGCCTTGGGAGTCGTTATCACCTTTGAGTCTTTCTATAACCAATAGTAGGGAAAACCCATTGTAAACTGGTTTAGGCAAAGAAGAAATTCATTACTTTTATAAATGAAAACTTTGAGAGATACAGTATCCCAGATACCATGACTAAGATCAGTGTTTCAGTTTCTTTTCCCCTGATGGCTGTTTCCAGTCCTTGTAGGCTATCTTTCTGAAGTTCAGAATCGTGTTAACACCCGAATTTCATATAAGATAGTCTATAATCCCTGGTACCTCAACAGAAAATTCTTAAGTTGAGCTTTCACAGCCTTCCTTGGCCTCACTTATCTCTTCCATCCTTGAGTCAATCACTGCAGACAGAAGAATGAAATCTGTTCTGGTTTTGCCTGATTTTCACCCCTGGAATCTGAAAGCAAACTCAATATCATCTGGAGCAGTTGGGCTGAGAGTGGGGTTCGGAATATTGAGTCACCCTTGGAAAGCTGAGGTCTCTGTCTTACCTGTGGGGTGGTGATACTCATTGGCAATCTACAGCAGCGATGTCCACGAGCATCTGCTGGCCGACGCACATGTCTTCCTAGTGCTTCAACAGTTGTTGTGCTGGGCGGAGACATTTTCCATGTCGAGCGACTCCCTAGATGTGGACGTGCTGTCTAAT